GTTGAATTGTTTCAGTTGACAAAACTGCAATGTGTGAAAATAATTTTCAGTTTCAAGAGAAGCAAACAAGCAAATTGTTGTCTATCGGCAAATCAAAACAGCGAGTGAACCCATCAGGATACGTAGATTTCCAACAGACCACAGCTGAGTCACTACTAAATGATACTTCAATTTTCCTTCTTTAGTGTACCAGGGAATTGAATTATCCAGTTGTATGTCTACATTTTCCTCCAAAACTCTATGATAGCTCAACCCATCCCATTGCCGCATTTGCTTTAGTATATTGTATACCAGTAGGATTGTTCTAATTTAGACTTCTACTGGTACCCTAAATGAATGCAATGCTGGAGATACGTACAAAATGGGAACGTTTTCTTGTCTTTCCGAAGTTTTGAAGGAAAATTTAGAAACATTGCTGGTTGAACAAACAAATTGCTGAGAAAATAATTAAAAGAGGGATACTTACTGTTATGTGGCATTAAAAACTTGAATTCCCTAAAAAAAAAATGGTGAGTGTACATACTCTGGTATTTGGAAATAACTGTTACTTCAAGGAAGTTTAGTTAGAGTTCTACCATTGAAAACGGTATTTATAATTATTGTAAAGCATCTTTCTCAAGACTCCACGTTTGATTTATTTTTGTTTCTTTCCAAAAACCTTTTTTCAAAAATTTAAGTTGCCAAACTCGGGGTACGGCTTATCTGGAAGTGCGGGTTATCTGCTGATGTTTACGGCATTCATTCTCAATTTCTATGACAGGAAAGTTGACTCGGCCTTTTGCCTCATCAACGTTACCTCATAGAAATGTCAGTCTCATAATCTAGTTGTTAATTAGTGGTATGTGGCCTGCCAGTGTAGAGATGTAACTCAAATTCTGGCATTATTACCCTGAAAGCATTTGCAATCACTTCATGCTCGCAGGTAGGTTTTGTCAAACCTTTCTTCTGGAATCTACCGGTTCGTCATGCATTGCCGGTGATTGTATTATAGGACCTGAATTGTTTTATTCATTACCTATCAGGCTTGTAAAAATGGTCTTGTTCAACACCTGGAGCATCTGTTGTATTATGGGGCTGAAATCGATGCTCGCACAGCAACAGGAAACACAGCATTACACGTGGCAGCATTAAATAATCAGGTAACTCCGTCTTGCACCCCTTTAGTCCCTGATGACCAACATCAAAATTCTCCTTACTGATGTTTAAAAAATTGTCTTGTTCATGTGCATAACAACTCTGGATTTATGAATCAGTATGGAGCCGATTGATTCGATGCTCAGTTAAGTTATGAGATTTGGGAGCAATGAAGTTGGGAGGGTAGTGTGCAAGCAAAACACCAAAATATGCAAGTACATTAATACTGTAGCGAAAATCAAGAACGTCTGTGCAGAGAGGGGGTTAATGCAAGATACACGTTCAATTAACATTTTTTTCTGTTTTCTCTCATGGTTTTTACTGGAGAGACAAACTATGAATCCTTGCCTTTAATGTGCATTTAAAGATTTCTCAGGAAATGGATCGTTTTCACGTGACGTCGTCACATTACTATTGGTCTACTACGGAGGTACATGTGCAGCAACAGGGTGTCTCCATGCTGAGCTCTGTAAATTTGCATGAAACATTTTGACAAATATCTGAAGTTTAGTGTAGCGCACAGACTTAAAACTTAGAGAAGGTTCTCCTTTATTTATCTTCTGTAAGATCGCATTTTCTTGACTTACATCCACCAGATTATTTTTGAATCATTTATATTTTTATTGTGTGACAGTGAAAACGATCTTTAGTTATCGTGATTTAGATTCAAATTCTTTTTAGTTGAATTATAAGAAATGTGCTTTAAACAGTAAAGAGAATTTTGGGACTGATCTTGGAACTTGGGACTGATTTTGTAATTTGAAGAGTTCAGTCCTTGTTTATAGTATAAAGGTACTGAACTGGTTGAAAGTCTCTGTACTGTGTGAAACAAACTTTAGCAAGCAAGGTAGTGAAACAGCACCGCAAAACAATAGAGTCCTTGGTTTTTAAGCAGGTTATGTATAAGTAAACCAGTATGGTTAAATAAGCATTCGGTGAATTTTCTTTTGCATATCAATAATTGTGGTGTTTTCAGTAAGAGGAAACCCTGCTGTTCAATTTCAATAGCCTTTGTTGTGAAGAAGCTTCAGCTTGACCTCCTAAGAGGTTGTGTTTTTGTCTGCCACTTGAATTCTAGTTCCCTTGTTTTCTTTTTTTCTTTTCTTTTTTTTAACGTTCGCTTGGTTAAACGAAGTTCTAAATTTAACGCTGAGCGAATTAATGATCGCTGGCCAATAAAACTTCAGTTTTGATTATCACCTGAAATTCGATTAGAAGGAAAGATAATTTTCAGAAGAGGTTATTCATCATGCATAATTATTAGACGATGGTTTTTTTGTTCCCTTTTTAAATGTGGTTTTGTTTAGACCGCCGTTCGTTTTAGTTTGCTAACACATTAATGAACAAATATAAGCGTTTTATCCAATAGGCAAGCGTTTTCCAACACCTGACTTTATAATGTGACTGATATGATCTATTTTTGGCGAGTCACATTTTGTATATTCATGCACGGACTACTAAATGCGGTACTTATATTCGCTAGCTAGGAAATGCCTCGTTGGTCACGTCATTGCAGAACGAATTTAAAAAATAATATTGAAAAGTTTGCGCTGCGCTCGATATCAGGCCACGTGTTGATGAAAGAATCACTCGCAGTCTAACAGTGCTGGTGATTGTTAAGCTGTTTAAGTACGTAGTACAGTATGTAAAGGCCACAATGTGCCCAGAAGCAGTTTTCTAGCGTTTTATCTCATAAGGTAATGGATGAATCCGTATATTAACAGTAATTCACACATTTATTATGTTATTAGCCATTGCGGTAGTTTCGGTGTTTCAGGAACTGTCGCTATCTCTAGTATGTATAGGTGTAGTTTATTTCAGTGTCGTGTAACGTGAGTGCTAACTGTTTTGTGTTCTTGTGTTAGGATGAATGTGCCAGAGTGTTGCTGTTCAGAGGAGCGAAGAAGAATATTCTAAACTTCGCCAATCAATCTGCTTACGAGGTAAGACAACGTTTTGAGCGGTTTTAATCGAAAGTTCTCGGAGAAGGTACTCAATTTAATATATTCTGAACTTGTCTCCTTAAAAATTTTTGCCGACAGAAATTAAGTTTTTCGTGCGGTTTGGCCCAAAACACAATCCATCGACTTGTAATTTGATCTTCGAGGTTTAGCGTTAAATTTGAATTTATATTGCATTTATTATTTCGCTGAATATTTTAAACTCAACGCATGGAAAATGAATTTCCTGTTTTGTAGTTTGCTTAGACAGACCAGATACCCTGATGTGTAACGTTCCGTTTTACTCTTGCTGGATCAAGGATCGGTGTTAGCTTCTTATTGTTTGTTTTACGTGTAGTTCGCGTGACATTTCAGAAAGCACAGCGCGCGATATAATTTTGCATAAGTGGAAGGAACAATAAGTTATTGTTTCATGCTTGGATATCGTATTGCAAGACTTGCCATTGTGCCGGCGGCGAGAGCTGTAACGAATACCTGTATGGGGGTGTAACTTTGTTCTGGGAAAAGCTTTTTCAACTCCTTGTACGGCAGTATCAGATACATGTTTAGTGTTTCATACGTTTAATGCAAGTTTTGCCAAGATTGATTACCGAGACTCAAACATATTGAGTTTGACCCAGGACTGTTTTGGTTTTCACTTCCACGGTCAAACAATTCAAGAATGTTCCTAAGTTCATGATTTTTAGGAAGCATAAGCAAGTATCCTTTTCGCATCTGTAATTTATGTTTTTCCCTGCCTTACGATGTATGCAAATGAAAAACTTAGGGAAAGAATATTCTTCTAAAAACCCAGAGCAAAATCCATAGCCATCTGATAATTTGGATTAAAATTAAACAAGACGAGACCGAGGATTGTTGTCTTTGTCGAAACCAAGTTTTGGCTTATTATAATTCTTCTAAACAGGTCAGTGGCAGAAATGAATTTATAAAGCCTAGAAGGGCTTCAGGGCTGAAGTTGTCTTTCATTCGATACTCATGATTGAGCTGACGCACCGTCTATCTTAGGTTTGTGCTAGCTGCTCGGTATGAAAACTAAGGTCACGTTGGGTTTTTTTCCTTGCATAATAACTGCCGTGTTCTTATAAAAAATGATCGTGAAAAACCATAATATCGTTGTTTAAACTTACTTTTCCGACACAAAACTGGTGATATTCGATCTTGTCTGGATCCACCACCGCCGGAATTTCCGCAAATCAACCAGCCTTTTAGATGAGAAAGCTGAGCTGAGAAAGACCTTACATACATATGTATAGCAGGATAGCGAAATAATTTTGTTCAGGCCCGAGAACGTTCCTCGCCTTCGTGCTCGGTAAGCGACCTTAATTAGTCTTGCTAGTTATGTTAGCAGTTATAAGTTAGCTTCATTTTTTTATTGAAACAGTGGTCGATCACTTTCGTCAAGAATGTAAAATTAAAAACAAAAAAACTTCAGGAAGTGTAGAGTTTTGAGCTGTAGGATTATTGCTAACGCGAATACAATTGACCATTGACTGACTATCGTTTGGTTAAACCAGCTACTATATGACACTTTTAAGAGCCTTGACAGCCTCATATTTAGTTTACCTTTTGGGCAGCCTTAAGAAGACATTGTTTTGCCTTGTCACGTACTCGTTGGAGAGGAGCGCGTGACCAGCCAAAAGAATGTCTGGCCATGGATTGGAAGTCACTGAACGGAGACAGCGATTATGTACATTTTTATGTAAAGGTCTGTAAACATTCTCGTGTGGTTTGCCCACATCCGTTTCTTTCTTTTCTTGGTCAGGAGCGAACGAGCGAGACTAGCTTACCAAAAGGAGCCCGAAGGACAACAGCGAGCGCGGAGCGGACGAAAAAAAAAATCCTTCGCGGTTTTTATTGTGCTTGCTCAATCGACGTCTTTTTAGAGGATAAATCTCGCGCCATCGTAGCAGTACACTCTTTATTTTTGAAGAAACTTTTTCATGAGTATTGAGACTGAAATTGACAAAATTATTAAGATTATACCCATGGCTAAGATTTTGTTAGGAACATTTTTTGGGTCTTGATAGAAAATAAAACACAGTCAAATCACATAATATTTTTCACTGAACTTTATTTTACCTTTGAAAAGTATGGCTCGAAATGTAACACGATACAGACACCATACAGTTCTATTTGATAGTACATCGTAAAGTCGGCAGAAAAATAAGAATACTTAAAGAAAAATAATACTATCCAGCTTGGGCGTGGAAAATTTCCATCGTTAGGTTTTTGTTTTTAAAAAAGAGTGTAAGCAGTGTTGTCGGCAACCACAAACGTTTTCGAGTCGTACTGTTTAGACTATTTTAAGGCAATAACTCTCCGCTCCAGCTGCACACTCCAACTGACGAACAATAAAAGATATCGAGCCCTCGAGCACATGTCAACACTGTCTAACTTAAAGAGGAAGTTCATCTAGGCTGGCTTTCTGTGGAATTCTACGATTTTTTTAACTTTGGACCATGTTCAAAGAGTTTATTCAGGATTATTAATAGTATACGCCTTATTGACATGTTAAATTAGAAGAGGCTGTTAGCTATTTTTTAGTTCTGTTTCCTTGCATTGTCAGAGCATATTTACCGTTGACATTGTAAGCGTTTTTTAAAGTTTGTAATTAGTTTCTAGAAAGCGCCCTTGGGGAAAACTAATAAGTGTGTATGTATTTCGTCCAACCTGTTTCTGACAATGTGTAAATTCAGTTTGTACTTTTCATTAATATTTATAGTAGACGTGTTCATTACACGGAGCAGTTCTGTCAGGTTGTACTCAGTGCTTGAAGCCGCTCGCCCAACTAACTGAAAGAGAAGACCTCTAGCGATTTATTTTTATTGTTTTCTCTACCTCGTCTCAACAAAAAGAAAACCTCTGGTAATAATTTCCTTTTATATGTACTAAGTGTCGGCTCCTGAGGTTTGCAAAAACCCTGTTTTCATGAAAATGCTCAGGGTTACTCAATGGTGAAGTGTTTATTTGGATGACCGAAGGAACATCTGCTGTGCAAGATTAAAAACAGGGTGAATGTGTAGTTTTTAGAGTTAACCAGTAATTCAATTTTGTTGTTTCTGCAGGTAGCAGCCGTTAGTGGGAATAAAGGACTTGCTGAGTTAATTAGGAATTTCAGAGACAAGGATATAGGTACATTGTACAATAAGTTGATGTTTTCTTCGTGTTCTTCGTATTTTACAGTTTGCTTAGTTCTTAGAACTTGACCTCTGAACTAGATCTCGACGTTTCATTCACGAATATTCTTCTGTTTTCTTCTATCTTCCTTTCAGTCAAATTCTCCGGGAAGCCCACTTACAGTACCCGCCGTCGTAAATCCGTTTCCAAGCCGAAGGCATCTTCGTTGTTTCCTCGGACATCTTCGGATACTCAGCTGTCGGTGCAGAGCGACTCCTCGCCGCCATCGCCGGGCTCGTCAACACACAGTGTACCATCATCTACCACGGCCTCAGAAACGGCATCGGTTGAGGAACACAACATAACAATGAATGGCGATATCGAAACCGATAAGGACTCAGAAGAGAAGTGGAACAGAACTCTGTCTATGAGCTCCACGGCTTCAGACTCGTCGTATTGTTCGGAGTCAGACTCGGGTGAGCTGTCCCCGCGCGAAGAAAAACGAAAGAAGAGATCATGGCATCAGTACTCGATGCCAAACATATCGGGGAAATCTGTTGTACCACCTGTCAAGGTGGTTTCTGGAGCAGCAACAATCCGCAAGAGACTATACGCTAGCAATCCTGGCAAACGATTCGTGGCCGTCAGGGATTATCGACCTGAAATGGCAGGAGAGCTCGCGCTCGTGAAAGGCGATGAAGTCGAAGGTATGTCGCGCAACGGTGGATTCGCCATACTTTGAGCGGCTTAGAGTCTATAATAATAAGATTAGAATTGTGCCATCGGAATTGGCTGGTTTGATATAACGGCAATGTGAGAGCAACATGCATTGACATGTTCTAGAGCTTAATTCGAAACCGTCTAGGATGATTTTTCAGCTAGGTTTTGTTTGAATGAAAGTGATCCAAGCGCAGGACGAAAGGGTTGTTTCTTTTTGTTTAGAATTAAAATGAGCGCATTTTTTTCGAGAAACAATATTTCTAATCGAGTGTTTAGTTGCGCTTTAGTTGCTTTTGTGGTGGTATTTGTGTAGAGGCGTAGATTAAAGGTCAGACGGAAAGTGATCTACAACAACAATAGTGTAGTGTTGCGTGATTAATCGAAGAGCCGCTGGTATTTGTATACAACTGGGGAATACCAGAATTCACTGTTTTCAGTGGTAACAAAGAGGGGGCGTTTTGAATCGGAAACCTATCTGTGAATTACAAGTACCCGCTTGCTGATTGTGTGAAGCAGTACGTACAGCACGGCTTTCATTTCTGTCAACTCGTCAAAAACCATGCATCATAAATTGTTGGGATTATAAGAGCCAATCTTAGTGATGGAAATAAAGATGCCATCGTGTTCGGGAGTGTTCCAGTGATTTGCAGTTTTCTTTTGGCTAATTGTGCACGTTGTGTGATGGTGCAAATTTGTGTTGTTTTCAGTGTTGTATGTTGGTGAAAAAGGCTACTGGGAAGGTCGAGTAGGAAATTCAACAGGCTGGTTTCACCATTCATATGTGCAAGAAAAGAAAGGCAAAGGTACGTGACTCACATATAAGTATATTGGTCAGTTTCTCATATCACACGCGGTCCAATCTCGTATTTCACTTGATGTTTTCCCGAGGAAAGAAAAACACCACTCATATTTCCATGTCCTGTAATAAAACAATCTTCCCCACGAGTTTCTTTCGCACATATTTATTAGTCTCCTTCGCAGCTTTCGTTTGTTGTCACCACGCAAAACGGGCGAGGTAGCCTTGCATGACGACCCCAAACGACAACTTGGAAGGAGACTGCGAGTTTAGTTGCAAATATTGTTTTTGGTTTGTGCAATCCTATTATAATTTTTGTAAATCTTAATTACATAAGCCGTTTTATATTTTTGTATTTTTAGCGCATTTTATGCTTTTTTAGATCTTTGTTTTAGTTTGTTAGCTTCTTTTTATGTGTAAAGCGCTTTTGAATATTTCATAGTATTAGCGCTATACGTGTTTAAATGTATAATTATTATTATTATTATTATTATTGTTGTTGTTGTTGTTATTATTGGTATCATTATTCTTAATCGGACTTCTTTGCAGTCGTTACGCAACATTGCGTAGCGACCCCCTCTACCCTCGATGATGACAAGCCTAGGTCTTTTAGTCTGAATGCTCTTTTATCGCTACGAGGGATTAGGGTTACGGTCACGCCGTTTTAACCTTGCTTTTTTGCGTTGGTAATTACCAGGTAAAAGTCGACCGAAGACGCTGTTTGGTCGGCCACCGTCACAAGCCAAGAGGTAGGTTTGTAAAGTGTCTTTCAAACCTGTCTACATAACACAACACAGCGCGAGTTTCCTGTCAACTCAACGCGCCAATATATGTATTTACGTTTTGCTGTTCGGTTGCTGATTATATTAACGACTGTGTAATCGATTCTTGTCGAATTCGAGTATTACTAACGTTAAAATTGATTAGTAACGGTGCTAGCATACAAGTAGGTCTTTCTTTTCCTTTGCTTTTGCTGCCAGCTTTTCTTGTACTCACAAGTACAAGTATGGGCAAAATTAGCGGTTGAATTTCGTTTGTCGCTCGATCAACTAGGATGGAATTGAGAGCGCTAAGCTGGCTTTAGTATATTGGTGTCGTATCCGTTTATACGGTTAATTATATCGGTACTCGTTTCTTTCAGTGACTTCCAAGATATGATCCATATTGGTTCAGTGAACGCTGCTGAACCTCCTCGGCTAGTTACTCTGAAAAGAACTGGTGTAGGATTTGGATTTCAGATGAGAGGAGCGAACTGTGAGTAATCTGCTTATTCCGTTCGCCATAAGGCTGGTAACCCATCGCTTTCCATTGCAATACGACTAAAATAGCAGCTGCTAAGGCTAGTACTATGATCCAAAATTATTTTAATACATAGTTGCAAAAAAAGGATCGCTTTGTTGTTGGTAGCTCGTCTAAAGCTAAGGATCCCAGTAGTTTCCGTTTTATAGTCAGAAATAGCACAGCAGTACCAGAGTTGAGAACGTCGTTTACGGTTAACGGACAAAATTGTCTCTGATTTTCTTTTCTTTGCCCCCGTCCTAATCAGTCCAACGCCAAGACAATAAGAAAAGAAAGATCTCTGATTCACAGCTAATGCAAAGATTTTCACTTTCAGTTTACAGACGACAGAAGTTTAATTTTGGCCAGCTATGCCGTAAACGTCATTCTTTACTTCTTCATTTGTCTTTCGATGTCAGAATGAAGACTTGCTCAGTCAAGTGTCCAACACGAGATTGCAACCAAAAACGCTTCCGGTACTTTTTCTAATAATAATAATAACAAACAAGCAAACAACAACCACAACAACAACAAAAAACCTAGAAAATTGAAGTTTTGGAAGAAAGGAAGAATAGCAAAAAACCAAAAGGTTACAGCAGGGTGGCTTTTCTTTGTATCAGTTACAAAATATGAACTATCTGAACGATTTCAACCATCAAGAACAAGATTATTTTGATTTGCTACTTTAACGTTTTTACCGACAGCGCAAGTTCCACGACTGAATTTTGTACCTACGCCTGAGTTTCCAGCTCTTCAGTACTTTGGAGAACTTGAAAAGGGTGGACAGGCAGACTTGCAAGGTGTAAAGACAGGAGATTTCATATTAGAGGTCAGTACGCAATCCTCCCGGTTACAAAGTTAAGCTTGCCAGAGGACTTAAACCTTTGCTTTGGTGTGATTCTCTGAGAAGAGGTGTTTGTGTTGACAGATCGAGCTAATCTAATGTACGTTAAGAATGTTCACCATTCATCCCTTGTGAACTGTCATTTCTAGGTCAATGGCGAGGACGTAACCACGGCAACGCATGGTCACGTGGTAGAATTGATTAAATTGAGTGGCGATACAGTCACGTTAAAAATAGCGACGGTGAAGAGTCCATCGGTAAATGGAACGGACCATCCAGATGGTAAAGGTATGTGATTATTGAAGATTAGAGCGGCAGTAAAATGCTCCTCTTCAGAAAATTGTGAGCGCGGGAGCGCCACAGAGATCGTGTGGATGGACGAGTAAAAGATCAGAAGGAACACGCTAAAACTGAGTACAGCTTTAGCATAGAGTACAAGATGGATACGATGTTGTTTTGTATGGAATCACTGATCATCGAGTTTTAAGCTAGCAAACTAATGGACGCTTACTCCAGTGAAAAATAATTTTAAAGTAAAAATGATTGTTGGTAAGAAATGCTTTTAACGTTTCACCATACATGCCATCTTTTTCCTTCCTTCCTATAACTACTCTGACTGTGGTTAGTTTGTGTTTTAGTCTAGATCAGTCTTTTCTCTGTATAATTTTCTATTGTAACGTCATTCATGTTAACGCCTTACGTTGTCATCTTCTACATGTAGGTTTCAAACTTCCCCCGGCTCCCCCTGACCGTGACCCGTCTACGACACTGACCCTGGGTCGAATGACTACACTGTCATCCAGTCGACCCTCGCTCTTTGGTTAGTAACCAGGTCGTTCTCCAAACGAATGCACTTAACTCTAGTTATGGTATAACACTTTTGTAATGGTAGTTAATGAACATTACCAAAGGAAGGCTAATTTAAAACAGTGTGGGCAGAAATCGAAGATAATTTTACTGATTAATTAACCAGTTACACTAAAGTGTCGCACGGCTGTTCTGTGTTTGATTTAGTAGAAAATCATTGATATAATGAAACGTGTTTCAATGTGCAGTTAATGCGGTAAGGATCCCATCCTTCACTGTCAGTTGTATCTTATTTGGTTGATTACAATGGCGTTTATGACTTCACGCACAGGTGATGAAAGTCATTTGTCTTCGGAGAGAAAACGATAAAATGGTTGTGTCCTGGTGTACCGGTACACAGAGGGAATAACCATTGTACTCCTTTCTTTACGAACCTTTGTTTACAATCCATCGACTTGTAATTTGATCTTCGAGGTTTAGCGTTAAATTTGAATTTATATTGCATTTATTATTTCGCTGAATATTTTAAACTCAACGCATGGAAAATGAATTTCCTGTTTTGTAGTTTGCTTAGACAGACCAGATACCCTGATGTGTAACGTTCCGTTTTACTCTTGCTGGATCAAGGATCGGTGTTAGCTTCTTATTGTTTGTTTTACGTGTAGTTCGCGTGACATTTCAGAAAGCACAGCGCGCGATATAATTTTGCATAAGTGGAAGGAACAATAAGTTATTGTTTCATGCTTGGATATCGTATTGCAAGACTTGCCATTGTGCCGGCGGCGAGAGCTGTAACGAATACCTGTATGGGGGTGTAACTTTGTTCTGGGAAAAGCTTTTTCAACTCCTTGTACGGCAGTATCAGATACATGTTTAGTGTTTCATACGTTTAATGCAAGTTTTGCCAAGATTGATTACCGAGACTCAAACATATTGAGTTTGACCCAGGACTGTTTTGGTTTTCACTTCCACGGTCAAACAATTCAAGAATGTTCCTAAGTTCATGATTTTTAGGAAGCATAAGCAAGTATCCTTTTCGCATCTGTAATTTATGTTTTTCCCTGCCTTACGATGTATGCAAATGAAAAACTTAGGGAAAGAATATTCTTCTAAAAACCCAGAGCAAAATCCATAGCCATCTGATAATTTGGATTAAAATTAAACAAGACGAGACCGAGGATTGTTGTCTTTGTCGAAACCAAGTTTTGGCTTATTATAATTCTTCTAAACAGGTCAGTGGCAGAAATGAATTTATAAAGCCTAGAAGGGCTTCAGGGCTGAAGTTGTCTTTCATTCGATACTCATGATTGAGCTGACGCACCGTCTATCTTAGGTTTGTGCTAGCTGCTCGGTATGAAAACTAAGGTCACGTTGGGTTTTTTTCCTTGCATAATAACTGCCGTGTTCTTATAAAAAATGATCGTGAAAAACCATAATATCGTTGTTTAAACTTACTTTTCCGACACAAAACTGGTGATATTCGATCTTGTCTGGATCCACCACCGCCGGAATTTCCGCAAATCAACCAGCCTTTTAGATGAGAAAGCTGAGCTGAGAAAGACCTTACATACATATGTATAGCAGGATAGCGAAATAATTTTGTTCAGGCCCGAGAACGTTCCTCGCCTTCGTGCTCGGTAAGCGACCTTAATTAGTCTTGCTAGTTATGTTAGCAGTTATAAGTTAGCTTCATTTTTTTATTGAAACAGTGGTCGATCACTTTCGTCAAGAATGTAAAATTAAAAACAAAAAAACTTCAGGAAGTGTAGAGTTTTGAGCTGTAGGATTATTGCTAACGCGAATACAATTGACCATTGACTGACTATCGTTTGGTTAAACCAGCTACTATATGACACTTTTAAGAGCCTTGACAGCCTCATATTTAGTTTACCTTTTGGGCAGCCTTAAGAAGACATTGTTTTGCCTTGTCACGTACTCGTTGGAGAGGAGCGCGTGACCAGCCAAAAGAATGTCTGGCCATGGATTGGAAGTCACTGAACGGAGACAGCGATTATGTACATTTTTATGTAAAGGTCTGTAAACATTCTCGTGTGGTTTGCCCACATCCGTTTCTTTCTTTTCTTGGTCAGGAGCGAACGAGCGAGACTAGCTTACCAAAAGGAGCCCGAAGGACAACAGCGAGCGCGGAGCGGACGAAAAAAAAAATCCTTCGCGGTTTTTATTGTGCTTGCTCAATCGACGTCTTTTTAGAGGATAAATTTCGCGCCATCGTAGCAGTACACTCTTTATTTTTGAAGAAACTTTTTCATGAGTATTGAGACTGAAATTGACAAAATTATTAAGATTATACCCATGGCTAAGATTTTGTTAGGAACATTTTTTGGGTCTTGATAGAAAATAAAACACAGTCAAATCACATAATATTTTTCACTGAACTTTATTTTACCTTTGAAAAGTATGGCTCGAAATGTAACACGATACAGACACCATACAGTTCTATTTGATAGTACATCGTAAAGTCGGCAGAAAAATAAGAATACTTAAAGAAAAATAATACTATCCAGCTTGGGCGTGGAAAATTTCCATCGTTAGGTTTTTGTTTTTAAAAAAGAGTGTAAGCAGTGTTGTCGGCAACCACAAACGTTTTCGAGTCGTACTGTTTAGACTATTTTAAGGCAATAACTCTCCGCTCCAGCTGCACACTCCAACTGACGAACAATAAAAGATATCGAGCCCTCGAGCACATGTCAACACTGTCTAACTTAAAGAGGAAGTTCATCTAGGCTGGCTTTCTGTGGAATTCTACGATTTTTTTAACTTTGGACCATGTTCAAAGAGTTTATTCAGGATTATTAATAGTATACGCCTTATTGACATGTTAAATTAGAAGAGGCTGTTAGCTATTTTTTAGTTCTGTTTCCTTGCATTGTCAGAGCATATTTACCGTTGACATTGTAAGCGTTTTTTAAAGTTTGTAATTAGTTTCTAGAAAGCGCCCTTGGGGAAAACTAATAAGTGTGTATGTATTTCGTCCAACCTGTTTCTGACAATGTGTAAATTCAGTTTGTACTTTTCATTAATATTTATAGTAGACGTGTTCATTACACGGAGCAGTTCTGTCAGGTTGTACTCAGTGCTTGAAGCCGCTCGCCCAACTAACTGAAAGAGAAGACCTCTAGCGATTTATTTTTATTGTTTTCTCTACCTCGTCTCAACAAAAAGAAAACCTCTGGTAATAATTTCCTTTTATATGTACTAAGTGTCGGCTCCTGAGGTTTGCAAAAACCCTGTTTTCATGAAAATGCTCAGGGTTACTCAATGGTGAAGTGTTTATTTGGATGACCGAAGGAACATCTGCTGTGCAAGATTAAAAACAGGGTGAATGTGTAGTTTTTAGAGTTAACCAGTAATTCAATTTTGTTGTTTCTGCAGGTAGCAGCCGTTAGTGGGAATAAAGGACTTGCTGAGTTAATTAGGAATTTCAGAGACAAGGATATAGGTACATTGTACAATAAGTTGATGTTTTCTTCGTGTTCTTCGTATTTTACAGTTTGCTTAGTTCTTAGAACTTGACCTCTGAACTAGATCTCGACGTTTCATTCACGAATATTCTTCTGTTTTCTTCTATCTTCCTTTCAGTCAAATTCTCCGGGAAGCCCACTTACAGTACCCGCCGTCGTAAATCCGTTTCCAAGCCGAAGGCATCTTCGTTGTTTCCTCGGACATCTTCGGATACTCAGCTGTCGGTGCAGAGCGACTCCTCGCCGCCATCGCCGGGCTCGTCAACACACAGTGTACCATCATCTACCACGGCCTCAGAAACGGCATCGGTTGAGGAACACAACATAACAATGAATGGCGATATCGAAACCGATAAGGACTCAGAAGAGAAGTGGAACAGAACTCTGTCTATGAGCTCCACGGCTTCAGACTCGTCGTATTGTTCGGAGTCAGACTCGGGTGAGCTGTCCCCGCGCGAAGAAAAACGAAAGAAGAGATCATGGCATCAGTACTCGATGCCAAACATATCGGGGAAATCTGTTGTACCACCTGTCAAGGTGGTTTCTGGAGCAGCAACAATCCGCAAGAGACTATACGCTAGCAATCCTGGCAAACGATTCGTGGCCGTCAGGGATTATCGACCTGAAATGGCAGGAGAGCTCGCGCTCGTGAAAGGCGATGAAGTCGAAGGTATGTCGCGCAACGGTGGATTCGCCATACTTTGAGCGGCTTAGAGTCTATAATAATAAGATTAGAATTGTGCCATCGGAATTGGCTGGTTTGATATAACGGCAATGTGAGAGCAACATGCATTGACATGTTCTAGAGCTTAATTCGAAACCGTCTAGGATGATTTTTCAGCTAGGTTTTGTTTGAATGAAAGTGATCCAAGCGCAGGACGAAAGGGTTGTTTCTTTTTGTTTAGAATTAAAATGAGCGCATTTTTTTCGAGAAACAATATTTCTAATCGAGTGTTTAGTTGCGCTTTAGTTGCTTTTGTGGTGGTATTTGTGTAGAGGCGTAGATTAAAGGTCAGACGGAAAGTGATCTACAACAACAATAGTGTAGTGTTGCGTGATTAATCGAAGAGCCGCTGGTATTTGTATACAACTGGGGAATACCAGAATTCACTGTTTTCAGTGGTAACAAAGAGGGGGCGTTTTGAATCGGAAACCTATCTGTGAATTACAAGTACCCGCTTGCTGATTGTGTGAAGCAGTACGTACAGCACGGCTTTCATTTCTGTCAACTCGTCAAAAACCATGCATCATAAATTGTTGGGATTATAAGAGCCAATCTTAGTGATGGAAATAAAGATGCCATCGTGTTCGGGAGTGTTCCAGTGATTTGCAGTTTTCTTTTGGCTAATTGTGCACGTTGTGTGATGGTGCAAATTTGTGTTGTTTTCAGTGTTGTATGTTGGTGAAAAAGGCTACTGGGAAGGTCGAGTAGGAAATTCAACAGGCTGGTTTCACCATTCATATGTGCAAGAAAAGAAAGGCAAAGGTACGTGACTCACATATAAGTATATTGGTCAGTTTCTCATATCACACGCGGTCCAATCTCGTATTTCACTTGATGTTTTCCCGAGGAAAGAAAAACACCACTCATATTTCCATGTCCTGTAATAAAACAATCTTCCCCACGAGTTTCTTTCGCACATATTTATTAGTCTCCTTCGCAGCTTTCGTTTGTTGTCACCACGCAAAACGGGCGAGGTAGCCTTGCATGACGACCCCAAACGACAACTTGGAAGGAGACTGCGAGTTTAGTTGCAAATATTGTTTTTGGTTTGTGCAATCCTATTATAATTTTTGTAAATCTTAATTACATAAGCCGTTTTATATTTTTGTATTTTTAGCGCATTTTATGCTTTTTTAGATCTTTGTTTTAGTTTGTTAGCTTCTTTTTATGTGTAAAGCGCTTTTGAATATTTCATAGTATTAGCGCTATACGTGTTTAAATGTATAATTATTATTATTATTATTATTATTGTTGTTGTTGTTGTTATTATTGGTATCATTATTCTTAATCGGACTTCTTTGCAGTCGTTACGCAACATTGCGTAGCGACCCCCTCTACCCTCGATGATGACAAGCCTAGGTCTTTTAGTCTGAATGCTCTTTTATCGCTACGAGGGATTAGGGTTACGGTCACGCCGTTTTAACCTTGCTTTTTTGCGTTGGTAATTACCAGGTAAAAGTCGACCGAAGACGCTGTTTGGTCGGCCACCGTCACAAGCCAAGAGGTAGGTTTGTAAAGTGTCTTTCAAACCTGTCTACATAACACAACACAGCGCGAGTTTCCTGTCAACTCAACGCGCCAATATATGTATTTACGTTTTGCTGTTCGGTTGCTGATTATATTAACGACTGTGTAATCGATTCTTGTCGAATTCGAGTATTACTAACGTTAAAATTGATTAGTAACGGTGCTAGCATACAAGTAGGTCTTTCTTTTCCTTTGCTTTTGCTGCCAGCTTTTCTTGTACTCACAAGTACAAGTATGGGCAAAATTAGCGGTTGAATTTCGTTTGTCGCTCGATCAACTAGGATGGAATTGAGAGCGCTAAGCTGGCTTTAGTATATTGGTGTCGTATCCGTTTATACGGTTAATTATATCGGTACTCGTTTCTTTCAGTGACTTCCAAGATATGATCCATATTGGTTCAGTGAACGCTGCTGAACCTCCTCGGCTAGTTACTCTGAAAAGAACTGGTGTAGGATTTGGATTTCAGATGAGAGGAGCGAACTGTGAGTAATCTGCTTATTCCGTTCGCCATAAGGCTGGTAACCCATCGCTTTCCATTGCAATACGACTAAAATAGCAGCTGCTAAGGCTAGTACTATGATCCAAAATTATTTTAATACATAGTTGCAAAAAAAGGATCGCTTTGTTGTTGGTAGCTCGTCTAAAGCTAAGGATCCCAGTAGTTTCCGTTTTATAGTCAGAAATAGCACAGCAGTACCAGAGTTGAGAACGTCGTTTACGGTTAACGGACAAAATTGTCTCTGATTTTCTTTTCTTTGCCCCCGTCCTAATCAGTCCAACGCCAAGACAATAAGAAAAGAAAGATCTCTGATTCACAGCTAATGCAAAGATTTTCACTTTCAGTTTACAGACGACAGAAGTTTAATTTTGGCCAGCTATGCCGTAAACGTCATTCTTTACTTCTTCATTTGTCTTTCGATGTCAGAATGAAGACTTGCTCAGTCAAGTGTCCAACACGAGATTGCAACCAAAAACGCTTCCGGTACTTTTTCTAATAATAATAATAACAAACAAGCAAACAACAACCACAACAACAACAAAAAACCTAGAAAATTGAAGTTTTGGAAGAAAGGAAGAATAGCAAAAAACCAAAAGGTTACAGCAGGGTGGCTTTTCTTTGTATCAGTTACAAAATATGAACTATCTGAACGATTTCAACCATCAAGAACAAGATTATTTTGATTTGCTACTTTAACGTTTTTACCGACAGCGCAAGTTCCACGACTGAATTTTGTACCTACGCCTGAGTTTCCAGCTCTTCAGTACTTTGGAGAACTTGAAAAGGGTGGACAGGCAGACTTGCAAGGTGTAAAGACAGGAGATTTCATATTAGAGGTCAGTACGCAATCCTCCCGGTTACAAAGTTAAGCTTGCCAGAGGACTTAAACCTTTGCTTTGGTGTGATTCTCTGAGAAGAGGTGTTTGTGTTGACAGATCGAGCTAATCTAATGTACGTTAAGAATGTTCACCATTCATCCCTTGTGAACTGTCATTTCTAGGTCAATGGCGAGGACGTAACCACGGCAACGCATGGTCACGTGGTAGAATTGATTAAATTGAGTGGCGATACAGTCACGTTAAAAATAGCGACGGTGAAGAGTCCATCGGTAAATGGAACGGACCATCCAGATGGTAAAGGTATGTGATTATTGAAGATTAGAGCGGCAGTAAAATGCTCCTCTTCAGAAAATTGTGAGCGCGGGAGCGCCACAGAGATCGTGTGGATGGACGAGTAAAAGATCAGAAGGAACACGCTAAAACTGAGTACAGCTTTAGCATAGAGTACAAGATGGATACGATGTTGTTTTGTATGGAATCACTGATCATCGAGTTTTAAGCTAGCAAACTAATGGACGCTTACTCCAGTGAAAAATAATTTTAAAGTAAAAATGATTGTTGGTAAGAAATGCTTTTAACGTTTCACCATACATGCCATCTTTTTCCTTCCTTCCTATAACTACTCTGACTGTGGTTAGTTTGTGTTTTAGTCTAGATCAGTCTTTTCTCTGTATAATTTTCTATTGTAACGTCATTCATGTTAACGCCTTACGTTGTCATCTTCTACATGTAGGTTTCAAACTTCCCCCGGCTCCCCCTGACCGTGACCCGTCTACGACACTGACCCTGGGTCGAATGACTACACTGTCATCCAGTCGACCCTCGCTCTTTGGTTAGTAACCAGGTCGTTCTCCAAACGAATGCACTTAACTCTAGTTATGGTATAACACTTTTGTAATGGTAGTTAATGAACATTACCAAAGGAAGGCTAATTTAAAACAGTGTGGGCAGAAATCGAAGATAATTTTACTGATTAATTAACCAGTTACACTAAAGTGTCGCACGGCTGTTCTGTGTTTGATTTAGTAGAAAATCATTGATATAATGAAACGTGTTTCAATGTGCAGTTAATGCGGTAAGGATCCCATCCTTCACTGTCAGTTGTATCTTATTTGGTTGATTACAATGGCGTTTATGACTTCACGCACAGGTGATGAAAGTCATTTGTCTTCGGAGAGAAAACGATAAAATGGTTGTGTCCTGGTGTACCGGTACACAGAGGGAATAACCATTGTACTCCTTTCTTTACGAACCTTTGTTTAGCTTTTGAACATTGTAGGGTGTTTTGTATCGGTTCTTGTGAACCGGTACACGAGGACAGAAACGATAAAATAGATACTTTGGAGAGAGCAAAAGCAGGTCCCTTTTTCAAAATATAGTATCACATTTATTATTGGGTCCCATGCTTTGTCAGAGTGTAACCTATTAAAGGTGCTGATACAAAGTCTATTTTGGAGTAACAGCGAAATATCTCATTTGATTCTAATGAGTGTTTTTTTCACCTTACAGAAATGAGTATGGGTGATAGTTACGAAGAGCCTGCGAACTACCGTGTAGACAGCGTCATTACAGTTTCAAAGGAAAATCGTTGGCACAGTCTTCAAAGACAAAAGCCTCAAGCTCGTAAACCAGTGGGAGTGCAAATGAAAGGACAATCTCTAGCGAAGCGTAATTCAAGTGTTGATCTAAGATCAGGGAAAACCACTTATCAAAGAGCTCAGTCTGTGCAAAACATGCTGCCTCCATCTTACGACTCTGTTGTTGGCAAGCGTCCTCTTTCAGCCGCGGTTCCTGTGGCCATGCCAGTCGTCCCTAACGATCCCAGGCTGTTACGCTCCGTATCGGAGGATAGGACTGCGCTATCAAAATACGCCATGACATCCAAGTCGACTCCGAATCTAGATAATCCAGTTAACGAGTCTGACTTGATGAACGGTCACGGCTCCCCCCCGAACGAAGCCAGGCGTGACTTGGCGTATAACCAGCCATTCAGCTACGCTACTCTGGACAGAAGCAAACTAAGATCAGCAAGCTCCAGTAACGTGGAGACAACAGTTGTAGCTACGCCTGTGAAAGCCACCGTGGTTGCGGTGGAGAGCAGGGAAGCCAAGCCTGAGAGAACAGTGGTAGCAACTCCAGTGGATGTATTCGAATCAAGCCCGGCAGTTGAAACAAGTGCCTCTAGGGCGCAAGTAAAACCTTCAGGCGGAGATGAGACGGTAGCAAACAAGCCAGAGAAACCCCCTGTTCCCCCGAAACCCCGAACTCTATCAGATGCACTTCAGGAAGCTGTCGCGGCTAGAGCCCAGCGAATGAGTCGAAAGTCGTCTGCTCCTGAAACCGAGGCCCCATCAGCATTTAAACCGACGGATCCGAAAGAGAGAAAAACCAGCGCTCCGGCGAAATTCACCCCTCGTAAGAAGGTGGAATCATCGGAGAAAGTTCGCAGTGAAATAATGACTTGTCTCGAAGAGCAATTCGTTGAAGTTGATAGTAAGTGTGACAGATCATCAGTGGAAACTAATGGAACTGAGCGATATAATACGATGCCTCGACAACAACAGAGAAGTAATAAGGACGGTTCTTCTCTTACCTCAAAGGGTGAAGGCAGTGATTTAAACAAACCGGGGCTTGTGTTAGCCTCTTCAGCTGATATCTATCGTCGTTACACCTCTCCGACCTCCCCTACACGTGACATGAACAGGCAGTCTTCCATAGATTCCACGGAGACTGGCCGTAAAAGTAGCGTGACGAGGAGTGAGAAATTTAAGAGACAGTTATCCGAACCAGTCAGCATTGATCGTCAACCCCGTGCAACTGCTAACCAGTCTACACCACCGGTTCCTCCTCTTATTTCGCCTGGCGTCCGTGCCAAACCCTCGGTACCACCACCACCTTCTCTTCTCACTACAAAGAAAAAGGACGTTCCCGCGACACCAGTTGTTAATGGGCTCATTACAGCAGATGCGTTATCTGCTAAGAAATCGAAATTGAAATCTGCCGCGAAGGATAATGCAACTTCTTCGGCCCCAGCCTCTGGCGGTTCGCACAATTTCGCCGTGCAACATACCGATTTACTGGCAAAGGCTGTAGCTGCGCGCGCAGCTCGCATTTCGACCCAGACTCATTCAGAAACTGACTCAACCACAGAAGGGCACACTGAGAAGCAGGCTGACAAGCAGACTGACAAGCAGAGTCATAATACAGGCATCGAGAAACAATTTCATTCTCCCGAAAAGAATAATAACAGAGTAAAATCTCTCGTGTTGGAGGCGAGAGCAGTGAATTCTCGCGGGAAACCCACGCCTCCTGTTCCTCCAAAGAAGCGTTTAAGCTCACCAGATATGAAACAACGTAGGCAAAAAGGAGATGAACCTACTGTTCAACGGAAGTCTTCTTTGTCAGGTAATCAATCGCCTGGTAGTGCAACAGAACGGTCTCTTCCGTTTGAAGTTCCTGCTCCGGTTTTGTCAGAGGAGGATAGATCCGTTATGCTGTTAGATGAGGTTATTAGAAAAGAAGCGGAGAGTGAAAATTGGAGTTTGAATTCCTGGAACAGTGGCAGTGATTCAAGCAACGAGATATTTGTTCCTCCGCCTGTATGGCCGTCGGAGCAGCACGAACTGAACGTGGAAAATACAACCAGACCGTGGTACGAATGTAGCTCTCAATCAGAGGAGAGCATTCCTAGCAAGACAACTGAGCCTGAGAGATTTAACAAGACTATAACGACAAAGAAAGGCTTCCAAATTAAGCTGACATTTGAATCTAAACGAGAGGACCCTAAACCTGTAAGGACTTCACCTCGAACGGATTACAATGACATCGATGTTGTTGAGCCGGTAACACCAACACTGAAGGATTCTGCGAGAACGGATTCCATCACTAGAACAGATTCACAACCGGTTACTCCACTTGAAATTGTGGGCTCTATAGAGCCGCATATTGACGATGAGTTAAACACGCCTATTCCAGACAATGCAAATGAAAATAGTAACTTTGAATTACCGCCGCCTCCACTACTATTTACAGACTCTGCTGATGAACCTTACGTGGCGTTAGAGTCCCCTCCACTACCTCCCCCACCGGAATTTTCTCCCAGGGAACCAAAGGCGCTAGCATTTTACCCTCGAGAAGACCGCGACGACATGGCTAGCCCTTCTCCATCGGCAGGGAGCGATGACAGCAATAAGGTATAGTAGTTTTATCTCCGCTCGGGAAAAGAAAGGCGAATATAGTCTTCCAGGCCGGTATAACGTCACGCAACGCTTCTCTTCACTAGGTGGAGAGAAGCGTTGCGTGACGACCCAGCTAATGGCCTCGAAGGAGAATAAGGGAAATATAAAGAAAAGAAGGTTGATATGGCCATAATCTCATACTGTTACTTTCTGGCAATCACAACCTCGTTGAAGATCCCTCCTTCCCCAATTAACACCTTGTTCGATTAGCATGGACTGTTAATCTTGGAAATGAGAGGGAAAAAAAAAAAAACCAAAACAGCTCTCGCCTGCATTAAAGCTCTGCGTCGGGATCGTTTCTGTTTTCAAGGTTCCTTTCTTCGAGGAGAATATCTTCATATGTAAACAGGACTACATCCAATTGGGAAATTTTACGAATGTAACCGTTCAAATTACTTGTTAATTTGTACACTACCCAAATTGTTAAGATTGTACTTGGACAGTGAGCAAAATTAACAGATAATTATGCGCGCGCTTGTTTGAGATTTTGAGCTGACAATATATGTATTTGAAGTAGTTTTTAGTCAGTTAGGGAAACATTTTTACCTAATACGGAAGTGTGCTTGTTTTTTAATCTTTCAGGAAACAGTGCCGTTCACAGATATTTCGTCTATATTTGGTGGATATTCTCGGCCAATGTAAGGGGTACTCTTTTGCTATAACAATTTATATCGCTAGGTTTTAAGCGAAAAATAAAGAAAAGTTTTTCTTTCTGATCTACTAAGGGACGACATAGTAAAAGGCTGGCGTCACTATCCGGGGTATTACATGAGCCGTGAATTATCTTTTTTTTCGGAGTGAAAATGTGAAATGGCTGTATCTATTTTCTGTCTTGAACGGGAATTTTAAGAAATGTTGGGCTGCGTCGGCCGGCAAGTGAAACACTTAGCTATTTGTCAATTGACGTTTACCCTACTCTCAAGAAGGGCTCACGCTCGAAACGTTAGTTTTACAACGACGTTATGGTGGTTAAGTATCCTTTATCTATTTCAAGTTGATAAATAGGTAAGAACTCTGATTAGCATGCTTGTACTGACCGTAGTCTGTCTGTGGTACATCTTCTTTCAGGCAAGCGTACATGGAGAAACCAGTGTTAGACTGGGATTGCGATGACGTGTGTCACTGGCTGGACTCTATAAGCATGGCTCAATATAAGGACACGTTCAGAGAAAACGATATCCAGGGAGCTCATCTTCCTGATCTAACAAAGGCTGAACTGCGTGAGCTGGGAGTCAAAAGCCTGGGGCACAGAATGACTCTGGAGAACGCCATAGCACGGTTGTCACAACCATTGGAGTCCAACTGTTAGTTGGGGTAAAGATAGATTTGTTTTGCCCGGCTTCTGTCTAGAAGAATTCTCAGATATGTGTTTATGTTATCTGGGTAAAGAAAGATTGGTCTTCCGGTGTCTCTCTGGAAGAATTCTCACGTGTGTCTCTACTTCATTCAGTCTATATTTACATACATAGCATCTATGTCGACGCTGTTTACGTGGTGTGGGATTCTTTTAGCAAAGATAAGAAGGCGACTTTCATTTCACGCTGTTTGCTAAGATCTAGCCGGTGTATGTGGCCATACCATAGCCTTGTGTAAAAGTGATTAGTTTCGCAAAATTTTATTTTCATGCATGAAAAATAAGTTAAATTTTTTGCTGTTTTAACATATAGTGCGAAGAAATCCATGTCATTTGGTGTCACCTCCATGTTCTAATTACAGCTCAGCGAGATGTCACCAATCGTTCGTTGCCCACCCGGGTGGTAAGAATGTTAAGTTCCATCGGCGATAAAGATAGAGCAGAAAAATAACTATTGGCAAAATGAACAAATCACTGAGGATTTGTGATGCTTAGTCCTAACTCACATCTGTGGCATGTTAAATTAAATCACACTGAAAGCCCGGGGAGGGGAGGGGAGGGGGGACTCACTTATAAAAAGAATTAGGGTGCTCGTCGGAAATTTTGAAAAGAACCCCTAAGAGGTACCAAGAGCCTGTTTTGTGGGCGTGGCTTGACTTTTTTTTACCCCTAAGAAGAACCAATTCTAAAACAACCCATTAACCCTTTGACGCCCAAGTGGCCATATACGGCCACTTAATGGTCGTGCTCTTTGTACCACTTGTGACGTCATCAATCTAAATGTCATCAGATATTCTTGATGAGCAGATAGCCGCACTAGGCTAGGCCTTTCCGCACAATGGTCAGGTTTAGATATCGACGACATTCCGACGTCGCAAATCGAAAAACAACGTTGTCAGTTTTGGTACAAAAACGGTGGTAAAATGGTCCAATATGCCTATGATTGATCAAGGTCCATTTCTAGGCTTCGCCCATAATTAACATCCAACTTTTCACGGCAGCCAGAAAGAACATACAACGCAAAAGGTTACCAGTGTAAAAGGGCCGAGAAAAACAGAAAGGAAAGGGAGCAAAAAACAAAATTCAGAACGGTTAATGGCAAAAAAAAAGTCCACATTTTGGGTTATGCGCCTGCCCCGAATTGAAATTTTGCTCAATTTTGTGCCTAATCCTCGAAAAATTTCTCCTTTTAGTGAAAAAAAAGCTTTCTTAGCAAAAGTTAGGCTTATTTAGCGTCATGGCAGCTAAAAAAACCTGACTAAACGGTTAAAAACGGTATTTTTTGGCCTCAGTTTGGTATTCAAAGGGTTAACTGACTCTCATAATAGTTGTGAATTTCCGGAGGCTTAACACCCTAAGAGGAACCAAACCGCTTTTTCAACCCCTAGGAGGCACGACGAGCACCCCTGGCCTTTTTATATGGAAGTCCCCCCCCCCCCCCCCCCNATCTTGGCCCCACTCCATCTCGGTCTTACCGTTGATTTGAATGATATGATCGCGAGTAGTACATCTTGAGGGTTCTTTTCCAAATTCCCGACGAGCACCCCTGTCCTCTTTATATGGGCGCCCCCCCCCCCCCTGGACCGAAAGATTCAGGGACAGGAGAAGTCGACTATAAACATAAGCACCATGAACGAACTAGGTTACAACATCGATTTTATTACACAGGTTAATTTATTGGCGTTAATGGCGAGCGAGCTCACGATATGGAAAATCTGTTTCACTTGTTATGCGCTTCATTTTGGCTATTATGCAAAAATAGTAACTTTGACCAGTGATCAGATCAAAGAGAATTGGTCATATTAGGACGTTGCACTCAACGTTAAGAGTATTTTTGTATTTATCGTTTCACATTTTGGAGGTTGTAGCTTTGAAAGGAAAAAAAATAGAAGTGGGATGGATCGAAAGAGAATATAACATATGAATTAGTACATATAAATCACCATCCTAAGACATTTGTATACAAGGTATTGAATGTCGGAAATTTTAATGGAAGGGGTGACTCGTTTGGTTTCTGAATAATTCAATATGTTTAGGAGACCAGTTTCGTAAAATTTGTCCAAATTTGCCATTTCTAAGCGCTTCAAACCTTCCAGAATGTTTTCAAACAGTGTAAACAGTAGTAGAGAGGTAATTGTGTAATACTTGCAAATGTTCCCATTGTTAGACGACTTGCAAACATTTATTTTTTGCAGCAATAAAATTCTGTATTTTTAAAAGTAAATTGTGTAGTTTGTGTAGCGACCGATTTTCAAACAGGGTAAGGAAAAGAAGATACCACTAGACAGTTTTTGCGGACCTTTCAACTACACTGCTTCTAGCACATTGCATTTCTTTCAGGTGCGAGTGGACTTACGTTAGACTGTGTCACAGCCGCCTTCCCCGAAAGAGAAAAGTCGGAGAGGCGGCTGTGAGACCGGCACAGGCTCGCTTGATGTATCCCCTAACTTCTGTATAGCGGGAAAATCACTGAGTATCACCGGCTTATAAGGGGTGGTACTCCCTTACATGGGCTATATAGGCATGTACGGCCTCAAAGGGTAGGGTTTTTCAGCCGATTTGGTCATAAAGGGGGTTCATAAATAGGGTATGGTTTTGCTCTCTGGTCTTGAATTGGGTATGTTTTTTTAGAGGAAGCTACTTTTTCATCATTATCGATAAGACCATCAACAAAAACCCTTCATAAATTATTTTTAGGGTAGTTGTGCCAGCGGCAAAAGGAATTTTTGGTTGGTCATAAATAGGATAGGGAAAATCGCAGCTTTTGGTCATAAATTGGTTAAGGGTTTTGGGAAGCGGGTCGCACATCCCACCTAATTTTGTCTGGGAGTACCCCTTCCCCGGGGGAGACAACGGATCATGTTGCGGGCTACCCCTATAACTATAAAGGGCTGGAATCCAGTTTAGGTCTTTGAATGAAATGTTAACTGAATCGTTGGGAAAAGTTAAACATTTGAGTTTGGGGATCGTGGTTCTTTTGATTAAAAAAGTAACCTGCCCCGAGTCATTGTAACCTGAGACTACAAAGTAAATATAACAGAAGGCCTGAAAACTAAGGGGGAGATGAGAAGAGCCCAATAGGCTGTTGAAAGTAAGAGGGGTATAAAGACTTAAGTTAGTGGTAACATTTTTAGTTTTTCCGCGTTCAAATTTTATTTCACGTCTCTGTGAAGAGAGGTAGTTTCTCTCGTGTGTAAATAACGCAGATTTGACGTGAATCATTCAGGTTTGCGATGAGAAGAAGATATCGTGAGATGGAATTTTAATTTCATGAAAATTCCCTGAGGAATCTGAATAGTGAATCTTTATTCCCTTTGTTAATCTCTGAAATGTCTTTGGAAAGAGTCCTAGGATTACAACCCGGGCACCACATCCGGGATATTTGATAATTTCTGCGGAGTTTCCATGACTTCTTACATTCAGTGGAAACTATTTTGTATACGTCAACTTTGTTATTGAGGAGTTTGCGAGGAGTGTTTTACTCCACAATGAGGGGTTTTACAACCTTTTCTTTTTGCATTTTCCTTGTCGTGAACAGTGGAACATCCTTGGGCGATCTTCCGAAAGAAGATCATCACACCTTTGAAGTCTGGAACGATGGCAATGTGGAGAAAAGATCGGAATCGAGCAGTTCAAGTTCATTTCACGTCAAAGTCGAAGAGTACGAGCAAAAGACAGACGAGAAGGGAACTCACGAAGTAACGAAGATACGTGAACGAAATAAACCGGCAGGAGGAAATGAAACCTCCAGTAGCAAGACAATTGAAGTAATTCGCTATCCAAATGGAACTATTCATCGAAGGGTCAAGAACAACGGGCCAGGAATGAAGGTAAGTTTAGCTGTGTTTAAGCTTACTTTTTATTGTTCACATGTGAGTTTTTCTCTTGTTTGAATGTGTGTCACCAGAATTACTTAAGGTTTATTTAAGCAGGGTTTTCGTGTAGGAATATATAAAAACAGCGCTTTTTGTCGGGTAGGAGGGAGCATTCGTGATAATTACCCAAACGTGTTTATGCAAATTTAAAGAGCTGTAATATCGTCTGTCGTTAAATAGAAAGCATAAGTTATTTCTAGTAATCATGGTAACGGTGATGTGGAAATCGAAAATCATGGAAATGTGCTCATATTCTGGTGCATGAGGTGAATCTTAGGTTCTAAAACACATAAGAGGATCTCCTTATCAAACATTTATGTACAGTTCTGCTCTAGATATTTCATTGAGTAAGGACAACCAGTGATATATTGTTTTATGACTCTTTCTCCCTGTGACACATGCAAATGAATTGGGCGAATGTGGAATAATTAATATATAATGTGTCTGAGAAATTCCAGGTTATGAGTACATTGATTATAGTTTTAGCAATTTTGATGGTATTCTTTGCAATATTTGGAGTTGGGAATGTGTGTTTTAATAAAGAAAATGTTTAAGTGAAGTACAACGCTACATTGTAGCTGATCAAACACAGCTTAACATGACTTCAGAAAGTAAATTGGGAACATCACCTTGATCCCTAGAAAGTATACATTTGTAAAATTTTATTTATGACAAAGAAACCAAGTAGGTTGAGATGTTCTATTTCATTCAGTTTTGATTGTAGAAAGTGGGCAGAACCATGCATTCAGATTGTTTAAGGTGATTCTTCTGAAATAAAAGTGACAATAGATTTTTTTTTTCAAACTTTGTCCACTGAATATTTATCATATTAGAACTTCAAGTTTGAAATAAAAAAGGGGGTGCCCATGCTCATTAAGGAGCAGTGAGGCATTGAAAATGCCCCATTCGGCCATTATTTAATGCTTATTATAAGAACACATTCCCAGTAATTGTGAAATCTTTGTGAGCCCAGACTCATGAGAACACACATTAAACAACAGTCAATACATTGTGTCAGACACAAATAAACATTTTAAGTTTGATTCAGACAGAAAGCTAAATCCTTGATTAAAAGTTTGAACCAAATTTCTTGACATGGTTACCAAACTGCAAAATGGAAAAGACCTCAGTGTATCTGCTATTTTCCTTATTTATTCAATTTTCAGGAATAGAAATTAGATCAGTCTTTTCTCACACAAAGCTTATGGTTAGTTGATTACAATGACTGGAAAAAAAGGTGGCGTCCCTGTGCTCTTTGGTGAGCTAGAGCCATTTTTCAACTGACAGAGCTCAATATCAAGGCAAATCTGTCATGTTTTCATTAGGCGCATGTACGAGCATGCACTAACTGACACCATAAATTATGCGCAGTAAGGATGCGCAATGCAAATGTGAGTAATCACCTTAAAGTCAGTTTCGCATCAGAAAGAAGTTTTATAATAATGTGATTGATGTGTGTGGTAATATTAAGATGGCTGCTACCCATTTGGTTTCCTAGAATTGGGACAATACATCCATGAAAATGACCATACGTTTCAAGACCACTTCAGGCATTGTTAGTTTCCTTGTGAAGTGGAAATCTAGAGTTGAGAGATATATCTTTTGAAAACATGAGCTTTAGTAAGAGCAAATACTGTACTAGATACATGTAATTGCAACAACTCAAAGTTGCTGTCAGTCTTGCTGCAGTTGATGGTTAAGAATAGCTTCCTGTGAGCTGCTAATGTCATCCCTTTGGAACACAGTGACCTAGAAAATGCAGCAAAAATGAAGAAACATAGCAGGATATTACATTATTTTGTACTGCAAGATGCTCACCTTGAATTTGCAAGAGTACACTTATGTGTGGCTTTATATTCAATATTTGCTTCATTTATTTCAGGCTGAATGTTTTAAGAACGAAGACTGCAGTGCAGATAAATTCTGCAACAAACTCAGATTTCAGTGCCAACAGTGCGTTGATGGTTTTGGATGTTTTAACGATGACCAGTGTTGTGGCAAAAAAGTGTGCAAATTTGGAAATTGTCAAGTTGAACCAGGTAAGAATTCAGAGAATTCAGGTTGACATTGTGGAAGATGTATGCATGGAAGCTGTGCATGTTAGTGCATGCTTTTAAACACACTTAAGACAAAAAGAGCTAAAACTATTTTGCTATTGTAGCTTAAAGCAACCTAAGGTACCTCTAGCTACCATATGCATCCCTTGACTCCTCTGCAGATACTTACATGGATACATGTACTTTGGTGATGAAAAGCAAATTACATTACATCTTGCACAAGGATACCACTGGAGGAGACTGGCCAAGCTGGCTTCAATTCAGTCTAGTGCCTGCTAGCCACATGACTTGTCATTTTCTCGCATACGTGATCATGGCTAATGTGTTCTGGTTTTTGATTTTATTGAATGTTTTCTGTTTGTCAGAGCGCACAGGTCTTGTCGGGTCACCATGTGATGAGGACAGCCAGTGCAATGCAGGCCTTTTCTGCTTGGTCCATGTATTTGAAGGGGGAAAGTGCCAGGAACTAAGGAAGGATGGAGAATCATGTACTAAGGGAATTTTATCAAGAGACTCACCTAAATGTGCTGAGGGTCTACAGTGCATGAAGACTGGGTAGGTTTGCCTCTCGTCTTGTATCTTCCTATGGTACTCAGACATCCTTATGGCTCATCACGCAATTTCTCCTCCCAAACAAGGTGAGGAAAGATTGCATGATGAGCCATATGAATGCACTTAGTAGATGAATGAAAGTGCACTGGGGAAGTGCCAGCGACAGAAAATTCTTTTGGTAAAGCAATAAATTAAAGCAATATACTCAGCCAGTTGTGATGATTTGGTGACATTGAGACTGTTTCCCAGTTGATAATGATACGTTCAGTACATAAAAGTAGATGCTTTGCATTGTATTCATGCTTTGAACTTTTCAAAACCCATTAAAATGGCTTCATGCATGTCATTGCTTCTTCTCTTGTAATGAATATGCAAGTGCCAGCTATCATTTCTGTTTCTTATCAATCTCTTTTTATTGTTGTTCTCCCAAGGTTTTTCTCACAAAGGTGCTTGAAAGAAGGAAGTGTTGAGGACAAGACTCCAGTGGATTCACCTTTTGATTTGTTCAACAATAACAACTTCTTCCATTGGAAAAAATAGAACTGATCAACCATCTTTCAGCTCGTGAAATCGAAGATCCTAGAGTTTAGAAATTCTATGTGCAGGGTCATTTAGATGTTAGACAAGAAAAAAATAGACAAGAAACTTAGTTTACTAGTTACTGCTTAGGATTTGGGGATCCGATTTACTGAGTAAGTGATGTGTGTTTTTTAAGCAGTGGCAAGTCGTTGGATTCATTTGGTATTTCGATGTGCTATTTGGCATAAGATTTGCATCCACTGACTTTTGTTATATTTATTAAAGCCTTTAACTTGTAGAAAATTATGCTGTCATGTGTATAAAGTAAGTCTTAATCAAGAGCATTGTTATACAAATAGAAAATTGGTATTTATTGTGGGCTTACCTTAGCTCAGCTGTAATGGTGACACATTGAGTCCAATTGTAACCTGGATTTAAGGTGTTGGTACATGTAGTAAATGGCGTTAGTGGATCTGTTGTTCTATCTAATGAACCTGCAAAATTGTTGTACAGTCAGATTCTCATGTGTAGGGATGTGGCAGCTGTTGGAGGTTATCCTTTTATATTCCTTGATAGGATGGTAATCCAATGCTGAATAGCATTTTGTCAGGTGTTAACTGTTAATCAGTACCAGAAGAGGATAAAGTGTGAGAGTTTTCCTCCATATTGGTTAGATTCGTAAGCTAATCCCTCTCAAGTTATTTTTAGATCACTCTGGGCCTCAGAAATATCAAAAGTGTCTAGAAATAGCCAATCCTGTGAGGCAAATTTTAGTCATGTAGACAACACAAGGGCTTTCATAAACATTTTTGTCCTCCACAAAACACGTTTTAACACACTTTTGTAACATTGTCCATTAGAGGACTGGATACCATATCAAATATTTAACAATTAGACCCGTAGCCCTTGTGGGCTACAGTTCAATAGCCCATGAGGTGAGGCCGAATGGGCCATTAACTGGTGGCCCTTGAGGGCAAAAGGTCTAATTGTTTTAGTATCACCTAACTAGTCCAACAGAAAAGGCAATAATAAAGTTAGCAAATGCAAGTTGAAGAAATATTTATTTGGGAATAAATGAAAGAAAGCGTCACACTCGATTGCGCCAATTTCGCTACTTGAGCACTATAACTAATAGTCCTCTAGTAGCGTAGCCAATTAAAATGCAGGATTTGCATTAGTCCACTAGTTGGGTGATACTAAATTGATTTAGCCAAGCCTAAAAGCGGAACTCCTGGTCCAGGTTGTTCAAGACCCAATTAAGCCCAACCAGGATAAGCAAGAATTTTCATTTGAGTTTTGTAACTTTGCAGTGAGGTTTTCTGTATACTGTTTGGCAATCTGTTTTGAGTTTGAACAATCTCAAAATACACACAAAAAAACAGTGAAAAACATTTGTCTGTAAGAAAATTTATACTTTGGTTAACTTTTAATCGTGGGTTAGCGTTAACTGGTTTCTGAGCAACCCAGCCCTGTTTGCAACAAGTTAAACTGACATGAGCCCGTGATCCAATAGAAAACCAGCACTTGGTCAGCAGTCAACTTCAAAAAACACCTGACCTTGACGAGCTCTAAGCTTATGCCCTCGATATGGTCGCATGACACTGGTTAGCGGATACTTTGTTTTGACAGGTGTCAATTGACCATAACATGGATATTCAATATCAAAGGAGGACGCTATAAATCAAGACTGCATGCCTCTTTCAACCTATTAAGGTGGTGTGGTACCCTCAATATGGACCAAAAAGTTTGTTTAAATATGGTGAAGAAAGATCAATTGTGTGCTATTGCACTCAAGAAGAGAAATTAAATTTCTAGAGTTTTACTCAAAATGGTTGCTATGGAAACCAGTCACAGCCTTTTGAAGTAGTGTTTTAGAGTATTGACACCAACACTTCCTGCTCTTTTACAAAATAAGAATTGACTGTCAAATAAGCATATCATGAAAGTTTCTGTTTTGTTCTGTGATATGAACCTAAGTTTTGACACTTAACTCTTATTTTCAGTGCTTTTTACAGCTTTATTTGGAAATAACCTTATTTTTTACCACACCCAGTGGACAAATCATCTCATGTCACGTGACAGAC